TCAAGGTTGATAATGCAACCTCAAATGATACAACTATTTCTTATCTTCAAAGGAAGGTAGTTCGTTGGGGGTACTCATTTGTGTGTTCTAGATGGTACACATTTGCAATTAAGAAGTAATGCACACATTGTGAATTTGATTGTCTGTAAGGGACTGGGAAATCCCTTGACTCTATTGTATCTGTAATGCAATCAAATATGTTAAATCTTCTCCTGCTATGTAAGAAAAGTAAAAGAGCATGCAATGCAAGAAAAGATTGATTGTTTTGTTTTTGGATATACAAAATAGTTGGAATTTTATGTATTTGATGTTGAAAGCTGCTTTGAAATATGAAAAAGCTTTTGAGAGATTAGAAGAAGATGATACACAATATTGAATTACTTTTGGGAAGATGATGGTGGTGAAGGAGCGGTTGAACTCCTTCAAGTTTGGATTGTGACAATGTTTATGTGTTTGTCAAGTTTTTTAAAATTTCTTTTATATGATTTTGACTTTCGGTACTTCATTGTGTATTAGTGCTAGAGATTATCTTCACGAAATTTGTATTCTTGTAATCGAATTGGATAAATGGAGATTAATTGTCAAATTTCTAATGAGTAAAATGGCTTCTAACATGAAGAACTAGTTTTGTTAAGTATTATGATAAAATGGAAAATGTGAATAAGTTGTTTCTTATTGAAAGCCAATATGATGCCCATTTATGAGTGATATATAGGATCTAAAGGAGTTTGTGGAAATAGTCAAGTATCAACTAAGGCTTCTTTAATGATGTGATATAAGAATCAAGTTTGACCGATGACGAGACGAGACTTATTGAAAATCGAAGGTGGACCGATGACGCGATCAAGGGCAAAGCAAGTGAAACAAGCGATGGGATTGCTCGTTCAAGAAATCATTGATGGAACGATGTTCGGGACGCAAAACGAGGCAACTTTGATGTTCGGGTTAAGGTCGAATCAAATTGGATCAACTCAATACAAGTCGACGAAAACGGAGGCAAACTGGTCTACCATGTGGCTGCCTAGTAGAATAGGGCTTGCGGTCGCTTACGGTGTGGTAGGACCAATGCTGCCATAGTTCAAGTGAACTATGTGACAACATATGTTTACACTATGCGGTCGCATAGTGTTATTTCGGGGACAAAATTTCGTTTTCCGCGTTTTTTTCCTTATTTTGTTAGAATTTTATTCATATTCAAATTCTTATGATATTGGATGGTTATTTTCGAGATTCTACTAGATTATTAGTATTTTATTCCTTTTTGAATTCTATTTTAAGATTTAGTATAAATAGAAGTTTATTTTTTCATTGTAAGGGACTTTTGTCATATTGATTAATTGAAAGGTTTTAATTACTTTCTCTTTGTTCTTCCAATTGAACAGCTTTCAAATTTATCAAGATATAATTCTTGTGACGCTCAAATCAACCGGGTGATATTCCCTAACTTTGCGTAATCAAAAGGTCCGCACATCGTCGGTGATTTGGGTTGCTTGGTTTCAGATTTATTGAATTTAAATCCAAAAACCTTGTTTTAGTTTTCTTGGGAAGATTTCCATCTTGTTCGTGGGTTCCGTAGCGTTTGCCTACGCGGGTTACATTATTTAAGTTCTTTAATTCTGATAAAAGCAGCCTCATCCTTCTCCATCTACGGCAAAATGTGCAGCAAATGATTGGGTTGAAATAAAAATGATGTAGAAAGATGCTTATTGTATGCTCGTGAATGCATAGAGAACAAAGATTCTAATGTTCTTAACCGATGGAAGGATGATATTAGTAAATTTTGTATCTTCTCCAATATTGTTAACAAAGATTCTATTGCTTGAAAAAAAAAATGCTTTTAGTGCTAGAAGAATGACCATTGAACCTTTTCGTAGTTCTTTAATCCATAATAAATGAGTTTACAAAATCAATCATTTAAAAATATAAAAATGCTTAGTAACAAATAACTTAAAAACTTTAACTTTTGTCTCAAATTTTAAACAATGACCCATTGATTCGACCACTAACCCATCGATTTAACCGATAACTCGATGATCACACACAACGATTTTGTTGATTATCACTCATGAAAATAAGTATTCATCGATAATTTCCATCAAGTTCAAGAATATATTTTGAATTTCCATTGGTGATTTGTCTCCTGACGAAGTGTTGGCATTAGTAACAAAAAATTAGGTGGGCGATGGCAAATATTATTATTCTTCTTAAAAATGCTTCTTTTGATATTTTTTCTTTTTTGAAGTCCTCTAATTATTTGTGCTTCAACCTTGATAACAAGGTGCTAAACAATTCTTTTCTTCTAAAATAAAGTTTGTTTTAAAGCTACAATAATCTAAAATCATCTAAAATTTACTCATAAATAACATTACTTATTAGTGACAAATACATTATTTTTTAGGGTTTTTCTATTCGTACACCGAAGTTGTGTACCGACCCTCTCAAAGGAAGGGGGCCCATGACGAATAAAAAAATCGTGGACCCCCCTCTTGTGAGGGAGTCTGTTAACCTCGTGTACGAGTAGGACAAACTTTATTTTTTAGTAATATTATGCACCCATAATGTGGATATGTACAAGTTACTTTTTTTTTTTTTTCACCCCCCCCT